TTTTTTTTTTTTTTTTTTTTTTAATTTTACTAGAAGAAAGCCATGGCAGGGGTAGGGCTGGTCGCAGGGGCTGGAGCAGAGATGGAGCATCACCCGGACCTGCGGCTCTCCGGCCATCCCAGAGTCTGGAAAAGGCAGCTGGGGTGGGATCGTGCCCCTGATGGCCCTTCCAGGCTGGTGCCGAGAGGTTACACCTCACTGGGGGGCCGAAACGGAATTAATTTGGGGGTTGGACTAGATCACAGAATCACATGGGGTTGGAAGGGACCTCTGGAGATCATCTCCTCCAACCCCCTGCCAGAGCAGGTCCCACCCAGAGCAGGTCCCACAGGAACATGTCCAGGTAGGTTTTGAATGTCTCCAGAGATGGAGACTCCACCACCTCCCTGGGCAGCTTCTGCCAGGGCTCTGCCACCCTCACAGGAAAGAAGTTCCTCCTCATGTTTAGGTGGAACTTCTCACGTTCATGTTTGTGCCCGTTCCCTCTTATCCTGTCACTGGGCACCACTGGAAAAAGACCAGCCCCATCCTCCTGACACCCACCCTTGAAGTATTTATGAGCGTTGATCAGATGCCCCCTCAGTCCTCTCTTCTAGATGATCTCCAGAGGTCCCTTCCAACCCCATGTCATTCCATGATTGTGTGATTTAATTACCGTCCCCTCCTTGAGGATATGCAGCTACTTTCAAGGCTCCCTTGAAAGCGCCTGAAATCATTCCATTTGTGTAAATTAGGAAAAGCATGAGTTATGCTCAGCTGATGGGAGTCGGTGGGATTTGAGGCACATTGTCCCCGCGGTGAGAATAGCCGCCTCCTCCAGCCCCGGGCTCCCCGAAATAGCTGCTGGCATTGTGTTTGCCGCGGGCTGTGCCACCCACGCCCCGCCACAGCCCCAAAAAAACACATTTCTTCGGGAAGACGGCACTGCTGGGGGCTCCCCCCTCCCTCGGTGGGCTCCTGGATGTCCCCCTGCTCCGGAGCTGGCGGTGGGACGCTCCCGGTGCTGCCCGGGGGACACCAGCACCGTTCTCACTCCAACTGAGCCCAAAAGAGGCGCTGGTCTCCAGGAAGCAGGAGTGATGCTGCTGGAGGGGGCTCGGGGTCAGGACCCAAAGTAGCCACTGGGCTCTGGGTCACCTCTTTTATTATTAAAAAAGGGTCTGTTTTTGTCCGTGATCTCTCCTGCCAGCGCTGAGCATCAGAGGATGTGTCACTCCCAGGTGTCCCACGGCTCCTGCCGTCCCAGCACCAGAGAGAGGGACCGTTCACAGCATCCCCTTTGATCAGATCGGGACAAAACGCTTCTCTTTTTCAAATCTTTTATTGCCGGGGTTTGTCCCTCCCCTCACTCTCAGCGGCATGTGAAAGGGGCAGAGGGGATATAGTCCCTGTTACCTGTTTACACAGGTCTCACTGGAAGGAGCGCGGGGAGATAGGAGCCACCGGCTGCAGAGGAATGTGACCTTCTGCTCCCCCTTCTCCGCTGCATAAACACCAGCCCGGCCATAAACCCTTTTCAGCTTAACCAGAGTTACATGTGATGAGCCACCAGCTCTCGGGCATAAAGCTCCCTGGGGGCACAGCCTGTCACCAGCTCGGTGTCACCAGCCCGGTGTGAGCCCTGGTGTCACCAAGCACCTTGTGTGGGCAAACCCCCCCAATACCCAGAGGGACCCATCATGGTTTCACCTCACCATGAACCACTTCCATTTTCCTTCCTCAGAGTTGACCTCAGCCTAAAAGCTGTGACTTCCCACCGTGTACGTGGTACAGTTCTTTGTTTCTTACAGGCCTAAAATAAGCGTGTACAAGGGACTTTGGTCCTAATATCACCTGGGCCGGGTAGTCCATGAGGGGTCCCTTCTTTTGGACAATGTAGACGCTGCTTCCAGCTCCAACCTTAAATCATCCGATCAGGATGACGTGGGGACTGTTTTGCCAGGGGCAGTGAACAGGCACCGTGCCATAGAAGGGTGGGGATGCTGCCAGCCAGGTTCATAGAATCACAGGATGGTTTGGGGTGGAAGGGCCCTCAAAGCCCCCCCCAGTGCCACCCCCTGCCCTGGGCAGGGACACCTCCCACCACACCAGGTTGCTCCAAGCCCCCTCCAACCTGCCCTTGAACCCCTCCAGGGATGGGGCAGCCACAGCTTCTCGGGCCAACCTGGGCCAGGCTCTCACCACCCTCCCACCAAACAAGTTCTTCCCCACAGCTCAGCTCCATCTCCCCTCTTGCAGGGTCCAACCCTTCCCCCTCCTCCTAGGGCTCCCCTCCCTCAGCCAGAGTCCCTCCCCAGCTTTCCTGGAGCCCCCCTTCTTGAGGGACTGGAAGGGGCTCCAAGGTCTCCCCGGAGCCTTCTCTTCTCCAGGCTGACCCCCCCCAACTCTCTCAGCCCCCCCTCCCAGCAGAGGGGCTCCAGCCCTCCCAGCATCTCTGGGGCCTCCTCTGGCCCCATCCAACAGCTCCATGTCCTTCTGCTGTTGGTGGCCCCAGAGCTGGAGGCAGCACTGAGTTGGGGGGGGCTCTCCCCAGAGCGGAGCAGAGGGGCAGAATCTCTTGGGTTCTCCCTGACACCCTGAACACCTGAGACTCCTTCCCCTCACCGTCAGCTGAGCCTGATAAGCTCGTTCTCCCTCGCTGCATAAAGGTTCCCCAGGTGTCTCTCCCATCACCTGCTTCTCTCATGTGTGCTTTTTTTCTTTTTTTTTTTTTGGTCTTTGAAGCAGAGGAAGAAGATGAAGAAGAGACAGAAAAAATGCAGAACGGGAAGGACCAAGGTAAGGGGACAAACTGCACCCTCTGAGCCGTCAAGCGTTTTCCCTCGTGCTCCTCTGTGGGAAGGAGCTCTGTCTCCATCTCCCCTGGGGGCCCCAGGAGAAGGCTCTGGGCGCAGATGGTTTTGGGGGGAAACAGCCCACGTTGCTGCTGCTGCTGCTCTGGCCCCACCTGCAGACACGGTCCTGGCTCCTTGTCGCTCCCCTCTTCGCTCTCTCCAACATCTGCCCTGGCTTGAGGTGACGCCGTGGCCAGGGTTTATTCAATGTGTGCATCCAGCTTTCAAGGATGTTTTTCCTTCAGCAAGGAGATCTTTGGGAGGTGGAAGAGGAGGAGGAGCTGCGCCCAGTGCTGCGAGAAACCCCCTTCAGGAGAATATGTCAGAAAAAACACCAAAGTGTGTGGGCTGGTTTCCAGTGAAGCTCCTGAGCGATGGGACCGTCATCCGCTGAGCCACCACCTCCGGTGACCTTGGCTGGACAAACGTTGGGCCGGTGGCCACCCCGTGTAGGCAGAGCCATGGGCCTTTCGCAGGAGGGTTCTTTCATCTCTGCTGTCCCTGGATGTGATCCTGCCCAGACCCACCTCCTCCTCTGGCACCAGCAGATCCCTAACACGTGCTGGTGGAGCTGTTCCCGGGGCCGGGAGGGATCATGGCAGCCCCTGGACTCGGAAACACCCGAGCAGGGCACGTGGGGCTGGGGGGCTGCAGGGGGCTCCTCCTGTCCCACCCCACAGGAGAACGGAGCAGCATCTCCCAGCCCTCCCCGGGAAGGGACCTTCCTCAGGGGCTCCTGCCGTTTCCTGCGATTCAAACCCCAGTGCCAGAAACAGGACTCAAACGGGTTCTAATTTCAGCATCAGCAAAATGGAACTTTTTCTCCACTTTTCCGGCGTCCTCAGGTTTTCCCTCTGGCTGAGCCGCAGGGACAGGGCTCCCGTTTCTCACCCAGACACCTCCTTTCCCCGAATTTTCCCTTCCCAGTGAGTTCCACGCGGCATTCGGGGGTTTGGAATTGCTCTGCTTGTCCCGTCGCTGTCGGACGTTCTGGGTTTGTAGGAAGAAGTGCAGTCAGGCTGATTTTGGCTAAACCGGGCGTTTTCAAGGCAGAAGGGCCCTGGCTGTAACCCCCAGGGCTCTCTCTGCCCGAGAACATTCCTCTCCCGTTGAATGCCTCAGATGCTTCGCAGATGACCCTGCTGCTTTTTTCTTTTTCTTTTTTTTTTTTCCCAACTGTGCGTGGTATCTGGCATGGGAAATGGGGAAAGGGGGATTCTGGAGAGCTGGAATGTGATGAATGGTAGCGCAGACGTAGTGAGACAAATTCGGCTGTTACTCATCGCGGCAGCGTCGGAGCCGG